GACAAAAATGGGTGCCAGAAGAGACTTTAAGCCTTGCTCTTGAATATAGAGTGAAGCAAACGGAAGAATAATGAAATGAGAGAGCTGGAACAGAAGATTTCAAAGAGCAGCTTGAGAAGACAAAGTAAAGTATTATAATGAAATATGCAAAGGCCTGAAGTTAAAATAAAAAGGGAAGAGCATGTTTGGTGTGATGGTTAGGGATGGTATCAACCAGACACTTGATAGGGGCAGATCTTAAACTATCCATTGCCTTGCAGCCTGATGCCGCCTCTTTGGCATCATATGCCTTTGTGTACATGATAGAGAGACTTTGGAGAGTTGCATCCTCTTTTCTCCCTCACCTTCTTCTAGAACTGGACTTTGCATGTGGTTCCTAAATCTCCTGTTGCACCCCCCTGCTGATTCCAGGAGCCATCAGAGGACTACTAATGGTGGATTCATTCAGTGGACTTTGGATCTCTGTACCCACCAGCCTATGCCCCCTGCTGTCTCTGTCACCCTGGCCTAGTTCCTCAATCTCCTGTTGTGTTGCCTGAAGATCCAAGGAGCTATCAATGAACTACGCTAACTTCAATCAGATAGGACTTACCTATATTTCTACACCAAAGTAAGTCATTTCGTGATAAAAAAATCTCTTCCTATATGCTACACACACAAACCTCACTGGTTTTGTTTGTCTAAAAACCTAACGTATTTGGCTTTTCTCAAACTGAAAGAACTGAAGAAAAAAAATTTCAGTTTTGAGTCAGAATACTGAAGGGTTCTATAACCAAACTATCAAAAGGTACAGGAAGCATCTGAAGAAGATGAAAGGAATACACAGAGTCACTATACCAAAATGGATTGGTCAATGTATAACCATTTCAAGATAGTGGCATATGATTAGGAATCAATGGTACTGAAGGACGAAGTTCAAGTGACATTGAAGGCATTGGACAAAGGCTCCATGAATTGAGATCCATTTTTATGCACCCACTACAAAGAAAGGTGACCCAAGAGAATGTAGAAATGATCAAATCGTATCATTACTATCACATGCAAGTAAAATTTTGTTGAAGATCATTAAACAACAGTTGCAGCAATATATTGACAAGGTGCTACCAGAAATTCAAGCTGCATTCAGAAGATGACATGGCATAAGAGATATCATTGCTGATGTCAGATGAATGATGGCTGTAAGCAGAGAACACCAGAAAGATGTTTACTTGTGCTTGTTTTTTTTTTGACTAGACAAAGGCATTTGACTGTGTGGATCACAACAATTATGGATAACATTGTGAACAATGGGAATTACCACGGGAAAACCTGGTCAGGAAGCGATTTGAACAGAACAAAGGAATACTGCATGGTTTAAAATCAGGAAAGATGTGAATTAGGGTTTTATCCTTTCATCGTACTTACTCAATCTGTATACTGAACATATAATCTGAGATGCTGGGTGGCACTAACGAGAGAGTGGCATCAGGATTGAAGAAAACCTCAATAAGAAACTGGGATGTGCAGATGACATAACTTTGCTTGCAGGAAGTAAAGAGGACTTGAAGTCTTTTGGTAAAGATCAAAGTTGACACCCTGCAGTATGGATTATGTCTCAACATAAAAGATCTAAAATACCTTACAACTGGACTCATAAGTAACATTATGATAAATGGAGAAAAGACTGTAGTTGGCCAGGATTTTTCCTTGGATCTGTAATCAACACTGATGGAAGCAGCAGTCAAGAAATCAAAGGATGTATCAAATTTAGGTAAATCGGGTTAAAACCAATTTCAAGTATTTAAAAGTAAAGATGTCTCTTTAAGGACTAAGGTACATTCAATACAAGCCATGGAACTTTCAAGTGTCTCATTTGCACATGAAAGCTGGATAACAAAAAAGAAAGACTGAAAAAGAACCTATGCTTTTTAATTACAGCATTGGCGGCAAAGAGTATTAAATATATCACGTGCTATGGGAAGCACAAACAAATCTATGTTGGAAGAAGTATAGCAAGAATGTCCTTAGAAGCAAGGTTGTCTAGACTTTGTCTTATATAGGAGGGAGCTTCAAAAAGTTCATGGAAAATCTAATGAGTTTTTTGCCTATACTTTTTTGCTCCCCTCCCCACCATACTTTGGACATGTTGTCAGGAAATATCAGTCCCCGAAGAAGAATGTCATGCTTGATAAAGTAGAAACCAAACACGACAAAACAAACTCACTGCCATGAAGTCAATTCTGACTCATCACAACCCTCTAGGACAGGGTAGAACTGCCCCTTGTGGGTTTCCAAGAATGTTACTGTTAATGGGAGTAGAAAGCCCCATCTTTCTCTCCTGGAACTGCTGGTGGTTTTGAACTGCTGAACTTGCTGATTGCAATCCAATGTGTAACCACTACATCACTAGGGCTCCTTTGATAAAGTAGAAAATCAAGGAAAAAGAGGAAGACCTTCTACAATATGGATTGGCGACAGCAATGAACTTCAACATAGCATTTTGAGGATGGTGTGGGACTGGGCAGTGTTGTGTTCTGATGGACACAAAGTTGGAACCAACTCACAACCACCTAAGAACAACAGCAACAACAACAACAAAATTCCACTTGAATGAATAACATGGGAGTTTATAATGATAGTTAACTATAGGATTGCTATGAGTTAGTCTTGACTGGATGGCAGTTTTTTGTTTTTAATCAGGTTGATGTGGCATTAAATAAAAGATTAGAATTTGAAAGTAAAATATTCACAATAGAAAATGTTCTGAGATTGCAGTTGGACAGACCGATATTTAAATCTCATCTATCTCTTAGCACCATAAACATAAAACATATTTCTGAATCTCAGGTGGAATACAGGATAATACCCAGTTGTAAGAAATCTTAATGCAGATCCTGAATAGGAATAGCTAATCAATGTTAGCTTTCATTAGTGCATTTTAAATGCACTTTGTATAGAGTACATACAAAATGAGGTATACAAATGCTCATTTAACAAACATCTACTGAGTACTTATAATCTACCAGGTGCTGGGGGGATGGCAGGAGCAAGACAAACGAGGAGCACTCTTTCTAGGAGCTTCCACCTGGAGCCATGCTCTGAGAGGGCTGGGGCACAGGTAGGCTACAAGAGCAAGCCATTATTATTCCCTTATCTACACCACCGGCAGTTATTCAAAATGGAACACTTCACTCTGAGCTTCTATGGTTTGGCTTTATAAAACCTATTTTATAAAAGGTTTATGCCATTAGTATCTGGCACTGCCTAGCAGAGTGTCTAGATCCAAGTCAATGTTTGTGATACATTTGAATACTTGAACCCCACCTCTTGAGCCTTAACAGCCTGATACAACCCTATCATTCTAGTTATAACACCACCACCCCCAACACAGGAAAAAACATTTTTTTAGAAATGAGGTCATCAGTTATATATACACAGAACCTTGGCTAACCATAACTCTTTATAGTACATTTACCATATGTCAGACACTGAATCTTTATAACCATTTTGTGAGGTAGGTACTATTTCTCCTTAATTTTAGCGCTAAGGAAATAAAGGCTCTCACCGCGTCCATGTAACTTGCCTGAAGCTGCAGGCAGGCAGTGACTTTGGGTTGCATTATGCATAACAGGCGCGTAGAAGATGGTAGCGAGTGTGGTGAAAAGTGAAGCCAGGCTGTCCAGGAGAGCTGAGAATCCCACGGGCCTACATCAGCGGTTCTCAACCTGTGGGTCGTGACCCCTTTGGGAGTCGAATGACCCATTTTACAGGGGTCACCCGATTGATAACAGTAGCCAGATGACCGCTATGAAGTAGCAATGAAAATAATTGTATGGTTGGGGGGTCACCACAACATGAGGAACTGTATGAAAGGGTTGCGACATTAGGAAGGTTGAGAACCACTAGCTTCACTGTGTGAAAATGATGCCTTTTTAGCCCGATTTAAGAAAGGCAATACAAACAAACAAAAACCTCTAACTTAAACACATATAGGTACCTACTTTTCTCTGGGAAAAAAAACATTTTCACTTGCACTGAGCATACTTAAGCAATTTGGTAAAACTAAGAAATCACAACTGGGGATGTTACAGGGCTTAGAAAAGAGATGGAAAAATATTTATTAAAAAAATTATTCTATTAATTATGTGGCTAAAAAAAACCCTGACTACCACAACTTATAAAACAAACAAAACAGGAATAATGTGCCATTCTGAAGGAAGAGCAGCACCATCAACAGCCGGGTTTGTAAGGAAGAACTTCGTTAGGGCATCTCTAGGAGGCCTGGCGGTACGAGTCAGACTGCTAACCCCAAGGTCAGTGGTTCAAAGCCACGAGCTGCTCCTTGGGAGAAAGTTAAGGCTATCTGCCTTTGTAAAAGTTGACAGCCTTGGAAACCCTATATATGCTCACTTTGAGGAGAACTGACTGGATGCCAGTGGCTTGCTTTGGTTTTCTAATCTCTATAGTGGAAAGAAAGGATTGTGAGATAGTGGGTGCTGCAGTTGGATTTTGTGAGGGAATGCAAACATTCTGTTTGTGGACATTACAGCAATGCCCAACTAGTTTGTTTAAGATGACTGGGAGGAGAACACCTGGGCCAGCAGAGACCGAATGAAAAACATGAGCAAGTGAAAGAGAGTAAGGTGCTTGGGTGTGGCAGTTGTTTTGAAATCTCATTTTATTTAGCATATTTAAATAAGAAATAACTGATCAACAGGAACATATTGATTTCATAGATAATGGTCAAAAAGGCATTTTAGGAGCCCCCGAGAGCATGGATCCAAGCTTTCTGGAGCACTGGTGATAGAGATGCTTCAGTATAAACAGCCTCCTAGCTTCCTGTGGGTGCCAAGGCCAGCAGGGATTGAGGGCGAGGCCAGCTTGCAGCATGACGTGGCTGCTGTGGGGTCCTAGTGCTAGCTGCCAAGGCACAACACATTGGTAACCCAAAGGCATCTGCTGAGATGAGCTAGTGAAGGATTGATTGCACAGAGCAAGTTATTCAAAACAGAACACAGCACTAAGGTGTAAAAAAGGAATTATTTATCTTTTAAAAATACAACTTTGAACACTACAGACATATCATATACAAAGTATTTTCCTGAAATATGCTCCATTGGATTTGTTTACTACTTACATTCTCTTATCTTCAACAGAGACTCGAGGGAGGCCATGCTTGCATTTTATAAGCACCACCATACACACAAAAACCAAACCAAACCAAACCAAAACAAAACACACACCCCCTCCCCAAACCAAACCAAAACCCAAGAACTTTGCCTGGGGACGTGACCTCCAGACTCCTGTCCTTTCCCTTTCTTTTCCACCAAGCATAATTTTCTGCCTGGCCCACTTACCCTGCTACTGCCAAGATCTGCTAATGGGCACCATTCAGCTGGAGGCGTCCCAGCAGCCAGCCCCTCTTGGCGGAGCTGGCCTATTTGCAGGAAGCCTCTCACACTTGGGCCCTTTCTTTATTAGTTACTAAGAAGTTCCCATTAATACTCCCAGGACTCTTTGCAAACATTCAGCATGAAGTCAACCTAGTATTGACAGCAGTCTATGTTTGCAATTCAACACACGGGCTGCAGAAAAAAAGGAACCACACGACGTTGCAAGTCAGCCAGAGGAGAAAGAATATGAAATCTCTTCTGTTACTGCGTGTCTATGCACGTGTGCACGCACATACGTGCGTACCTGTCGATGCACAAGGATTCATAGCAAATGATATGTGCCCTCCTTGGAAAAGCAGACTATTTACAAGGTGATTTGGAAGAGCACGTACACTATCAGTCATACTGGATACTTGCTTTCTGTGAACACATCTAGATTTTTTTTAAAGTCTGAAATAGACTTTTAATTGAATCTATTACAGAAAATAACTTTGGAACGTTTGTGGATGTTCGGCTCATAGTAATTTAAACAAAACACCACACACCATGCTTTGTCTTTTTAAAGGTGACCATGAGCAGGCACCTTCCAGAAGACATTGAAGCCTCATTCCTTCACTAAGGGTTGGAAAGGCAATGTCACTGATACCGAGTACCTAGTGGTCCTCTCGTCTCTCTCACCGGTAGCAACATTAATCTAAGAAGTTTTGAAACACAAATCACATACAAATCATCAAACTATTTCAGTAAGCAGTGCTTTCAAAATAGCAAACTTTACAAGAAACTTTACAACAGTAGTACAGACACGGAAAACACACTCCATTCTTTAGCCTCGGGGTTTTTTCAAGATGACTACTACTACTACTGGGGGCGGGGAAGAAAAGGGGCAACCGATTGACAAAGAGGGGCGAAAGTTACAGCACTTGAGGTTTGAGTCAGTTTCTTTTTTTAGGGCCTGTGGCTCGAGGTGCTGTTCTAGGATCCTTATTTTAACTCAAAAGACATCTTAGGAATTATTTTTTAAAGTGTAAGCAACTTCTACTTGAACAACACTGAAAATACAAATCACGTTCTACGCTTGTCCAACACATATTTATTTTCAGGATCCCAAGTTGTTATGCTAAGGGACTCAGGTCAGTTTCAAGCCCTCAAAGCCACAGAACTTCCACCTCTTCTCCAGGCTGGCTCCAACTCCTGTCATTTCCTGCTTGAAGGTGTGCTGGAGTCTGCCCATGAGGCATTCCACATCACTGGTGCAGATCTGTGGGCCAGAGAGAAAGACACCTCCATTCAAGACCAGCTCTGCTTTCCTATTCTGCTGCTGCTTTTGTGAGACAGCCCCCTTTTAAAATGCTGGTGCACATGTGTTTGTGTTGCAGAGTAGGCTAACCTCTTCTCCCCTTATGGCACACGTGTATGTGTTGGGTGAATGGCTTCAAGACAGTAGTGTCCCTTCTGCTGTGACTTCCAGGCAGAGTTTTCTAACCTCTCTGCTAGAATGAGCTAGTGTCAGCGGCATAGAGAGGCTTGGATCTGTAGTCAGCTGATGGGAGCTGGTAATGCTGGTGGCAAAGCTTGGAGGAGGGGTGGGGGGCAGACAGGCTGCTAGCAGAATAGAAATCTTCACAAGCTTATGAGTTGACAAAAGAAAAGTGGTAGGAATGGGGACTGCCCCTATCAAAACCACGAGCAAAATAAAGACAAATCTGCAGACCCCTTTGGGGGTTTGTTTCAGATGGTCTCCTCTTCCTCTCTGTAGCAACCTTCCTAACTGTGACCCTGGGTACCAGGGCTTGCCGGGAGGATGCCAGGGGATCTCAAGAGAACTATCATGCTGAATATTCTTGAAGTTGGAGGTAAGGGAGCCCCTGATTCTGCTGGGACAACTGCAGGCCCCTTTGGGAAGTCTCGGCACTCGTTGGGGTTGGGCTAGGAGTCAAGTAACACCTTCTTCCCAATGCTGGTAGTACTGTATCCAAGTGAGTGAAAGAAGCACATTGTAGGATAGCATAGAGAACACCTCTATGTCAAAACCATAAAGATGCAATATTTATAAATATAGATTATAGATGTAGCATATCTATAGAAATGAGCACTGGTGATCTCTGGGGGTCGTGGCTATGGGGGGACTTTCACTTTTTCTATAGTGTTTTTACATTGATATTCTATAGTACTTTCACATTTATATTCTATAGTGCTTTCATATTTATACAGTGTTTTGATTTTCTTGAAAAAATAAAAAAAAACAATAGTTCTTATGCATTATTTTCAGTTACCCACCCCCTCCAAAATAAAGAAAATCCAGATCTTTTTAAAGTTGGCGTATAGTTCAATTTCCTACCAATCCAGCAGACCATTTGGTTTTGGTGCTCACACTCTACTCTTCACATCACTGCCAAATGGACTAGTTAATTTTAAAAGTGTAGCACTTGCCAGAGATAAATGAGCAGATAATTTAGGGCTGACTCAAGTGGTTACGAGAAATATAAGCAAATGTCATCCAGAAGGATGCAGCAGCATGGCTGGAACCTGGTCAGAGTAAGAAGATAGGTGTGTGCCTCTGTAAGAGGTCAGGTGCTTAAATGATTTCACATTTTGGACCTTCCGCTGTTAGGAATCTATCTGTCAATGGCCCTTCGTAAAAAAGCCAGATCATGTAAAATGGTGAGTGTGATCCATGAGCTACTTTAACTGCATGATGCTTCGGGAAGGAAAGAAAAAGTACCAAGAGCTGATTCATTTTGCAGGGTCAGGAGCTCCTCGTGCGTTTAAGAGGTGTTTTGGACTTCCTTGAGAATGAGCACTTACCCTTGCTCTAAATGCCCTGTGAGCTCCCCAAAGGATAGTGTACAGAAAACAAAACAGCTTATGAGCTCAGCTGGAAGCAAATATTCAGCCTGGCTTATAGAGGCCCTCAGTTCATTTTTGCAGCCTTTCTTTTGTCCCTCTCCCGAGTGTTTCTTAGCAGATACCGGTAGTGATGATGGTGTCAGCGGAGGACGTGAGTGAAACAGGACAGCTGATTCTGGAAATTAGTATTTGCTATGGGCAGAGGCATCAGGCTTCGTAAAGCAGGAGGACACTGAAAAAGATAAAGCCCCTCGACAAGATGGACTGATACACTGGCTCCCACAATGGGTCCAAACGCAATGATTACCTGTGAGGATGATGCGAGCCGGGGTGGGGTTTTGTTCTGGTGAACACAGGGTTTCTAGGAGTCAGCACTGACTCAAAAGCACCTAATAACCATAGTGTGGCTAAAGACCCAGGGTTCAAGTTTCTTGTTGAGATAGCTGCTGTTGGTTAATTATATGTAAATTAAGAGAAAGGAAGACAGTTCATCTAAGGTTTACTTCAAGGCAACTCATTCCATTTGGCTCATGATTCCCCTAGATTTAGCACTGAAAGTCCCAGGTCCCAGGAAATCCCTCAGTTCTGGACAAGCCAGAACGATGGGCCCCCTACTTGAAGGCGAGAAGCTCTACACTGAATCCCGCCCAGAAAGTAGATCAGGGGACCTTCGTAGAGTAAGAATGAATGAATGATGGATTGTGATTAAGGACAGCACAGTCACCCATTCACAAAGAACCCTACATTGCCTTGTATCCCCATCCCAGGTGTCCACATACCTTATTGTCAAGACGGTGCAAGTAGGAACAGATGTACTCAATGCTGGCTCCAAAGGGGTGAACATGAAGGAAAGTGGAGATAATCCCTAAGGAGACAATACCATGCAGGTTACACTTCAGTACTGCATTCCTGTAGATTGCACACGATAGTGAATAGGAATAGTTAACGTACATGTACAACATGTTACAGACTGGCTTACATATTTCACTCATGCAATTGTTACAATTCCATGAGGTCAGTAGGCATTGTCGTCTCCATGTCATAGATGAGGACACTGAGGCTTCGAGAGTTGAAGCAACTTTCCCAAAGTCACACAGCTGATCAGTGGCAGAGCGGGAATTTGAGGCCAGTGTGGCTTGGGGAAGTAGGATGTTTCAATCTTAACGTTCACGCAAACCGCCTCTCACCAGGCTATTCCACTGAAAGACAAGCTGGTATTGGAGAAGGAACTTACACTGTTCCTGATGGCCAAGGGCCATTTGAGTTCTATAATATTACAATGAGTTTAGAGTGGGCTGGCATTCTGCCGTTCCGTTGCATGGTCTTTAAATTGGATGCTAGCTTCTTAAGTGCTAATAATGTCTTACTGCTGGGCAAACGTACAAATCCTGTCCTCTGCCTGATTAACCCAGTGCCTCTCACAAGAGAATTTGCTGACTGTATTGGGGTTTTATTCAGGGGGTAGTTCTGTAAAGAAAAGCCAAAGATTTCATTCATGGCTGACTCAAGTGGTTGCTTGCATTTTGCGCTTAAAGCCCTGAATCTTTTCAAGGAAAAGACTTCTGAGCAGTTTGCAGGACCCACTCAGTATAACTCGGGGGTGACTGGCAGCCTCCTCACACTGCCTTGATTGTTCTGGCCATCAGGTTAATTGCTCTAGTACTTCTTTCGCTGACAACTGGCAGAGAAATTGTTCACAAGCCTCCTCTTTCTTTCTTTACATTGTTTGAATTCACCCCCTTTCATAAGATCTTAGGTACATCAAAAAGATCTAGAATTGAGCTTGTTGAAAACTGGAAGAAAAGCTATTTCATTCTGTTTATAGGCGACAATTGCTCTGTTCCTTTAGAGGCTGACAAAGAATGACGGATTTAAAATGCAGCTTGAGGTTCAAATCCGTTCTTTTGGGAAAGTTTCCAAATAGTAGAGAGCGAGAGGATGAGGGGAGGCCAAGGAGGAAGTGATGGTCTTCACAATCTATTCCAAATGGACCAGTTGCCATCAGGTAGACATCAACACATGATGACCCCATGGGTTTCAGAGTAGATCGCCAGGCAGGCCTTTCTTGAGGCTCCTTGGTGAATTTGAACTGAACAACCTTTTGGTTAGTAGGAGAGCCCTTTACTGCATCACCCAGTGATTTTACTATAGCTTATAGCCCACTGCCATCGACTCAATTTGGGCTCATAGTGACCTTATAGGACAGAGTAGAACTGTCCCTGTGGAATTCTGAGGCTTTAATTCTTTACAGGAGCAGACAGTTTCATCACTTCCCCACAGGGTAGTTGGTAGGTTTAAATCCTTGGCTAGGCACCCAATGAAATGCTTTACGCACTCTATACCAAGAGTCTCCTTATTAATACTAGGATCCCTGGTGGCACAAAGGTTAAGCACACTGTTGCCACTGAAAGGTCAGTGGCTCCAACCCACTGGCTGCTCTGCAGGAGAAAGATGAGGCAGTCTGCTTCTGAAAAGATTCAGAGCCTGGAAAACCCTAAGGGGTAGTGTAACTATGTCTTATGGGGTCACTATGAGTCGACATTGACTGGATGGCCGTGAGATTTTGGTTTTCTTTTGGTTGTCATTTTTGTTTTTCACACTGATTCAAGCTGGAAAACTTAAATACTGAAGATAGTCCATGTTCAAAAGAATTATAGATGATATGGTCAAGACAGGCTGTCACATGCCAAGAAATAACTGCCTATGTTTGAAAACATAAAGTTGTTTTTTTTTTGTGGATTATGCCTAAAAGAGCCAATTTAAAAAATAGATTTTTCTTTCACTTCCATCATTCCAAGACAACTTTCTTTAACAAAACAAAAGAAGAAACTGATTTGTAAGGATCTCTTCTTCCAGGACAATCCATTAACAGATGCTTCCTTCTACCGTCAGCGCTTCTTTGACTAGTCTCACTGTTGCCATGCCAATTTGTTAAAGAGCTTTGAGTTGGGAAACGGAAATAAGTTGTCACTTTTCAGGACGACTCAGTGGCAGATCCCCCTGTGCATCTTTATTAACATATCAGAGTGCTAAATCATTGGCGTCTCATTGCCACTCCTGAAGAAGGAAGCTCTATTTAAACAATAGGCACATGGCATTCAGTGGGGAGGGGGCTTTGAAGTGTCAGCTCAGCTTCTTAGGATGCAGCTGGGGGCACGTGCTGAGGGTCCAAAGCAGTCCTTTTTAGTGACTCCTTGCTTTAGGACCTCATCTACCACTCTTCCTCAAATGGAACCTAAGGCCCATGGCATTTGCGACTATGGCTCCCATTTGCTGGGGACTGACTGTGGGGCAGTAAGTGCTGAATGCTTTCTTTGAATTACTTCCTTTAGTAGTCACAAGGCTCCTTCAGTTCTCATGAAGGGACTGAAGGTCAGAGCTGAAATAGCATGGTCAAGATGGGAAGGTTTGTTAACCCTTAATGCTCTCACTGACTCTCTTAGTTTTTCACAAAGAATTTGATTTATTTTCATGGTTGCTGGGCATTTTTACAATAGAACACACCCCGAACTCAACAGTTTCTATGTGTATGGTGGCATGGATGATGTTTGCAGCCAGTCTCATCCTCCTTTTCAGAGTTGTTCCTACCGGATTAACATAACCCCCTGTCCTATCTAATTTTTTTGAGTTTCTGGTTTCACTTTGATCTCGTAGAGATCTTCAAAAGATCACAATGCTCAGGGCAGACCTTTTTATTTTACTGCAAGAACTAAACTATTGTTTGGTTTTAGGAAGACCTCAGGGGATATTTGTGGTTTGAGGTTTGAATGCGTCCATTTTTATAAAGCAAGAACAATTTTCACAGCAGAAGCCACCAGTGTAGAAGCTATCACTGCTATTTACCTGCCAGTGACCTGGAAAAAGCATAGGAAAAGCCTGCTGCCTTCAGAGGCCAGGTCTGCACTAGGCCCTGAGTTGGAGGGAGTGGGCAATACTATCCATGCACAGAGATTAAAAAAGCAATCTACACAGTGTTTCTCCAGCTGGCCCCTGATCTAGCATAGCGCTGGAACTGATACTTTTGATGTGGCCACAGGGAGCCTGAAGAAGTTGGACCAGGGCTGGGAGTGGCTCTTATCATTTTTATTGAAATCTGTCCTCCTTCTTAACCTATTGGCATCGAGACTCTGTGTACCTATATTGTTGTGCTTCACAAATGTTTGGCATTTCCCCTCCACTGGGCCCTACACATTGTATACGTGTGGTTAGCGTCCTTACCCACTAGCAGTGCTTCACGTTCCGATTTGACAGGACTGCTGTTGAAGGTCTTCTCAAGAGGGTAGTCATTCTCCTGGCTGGATGCACACAGTCTAGAAGCACAGCTCTCCTGTGGAAATAATGGGCTTGCTGGGCCAGCTCACTGTATGTTGGCACAGATTTGGCTTAAAGTAACTACACAACAGGCAACTTCTTCACAAAGGACCATTAAAGTAATAATGTCCAATTTTGATCATCGAGAGGGGGGGCAAACAGCATAAAGTACACACGCATTACAGAAAACCCAACGATGATTTGACTTTGAAATACAGAAACAGTAAGACATCATATCTTCACCAGTTGTTTGCTTCCCCCTCCCCATGCCTTTATTATTCTTGAGACTAGGCACGTATTCTGGGGGGATTAGACTTAACAGATATTATCTACTGAAAGACACCAGGCCTGTTAGGCAGGTATTATTTCTATACACGGTCAGGGATTGATACAGCCATGATTTCAACCCAGGTTATCCACCATTTAAAAGGACTGACTACCAATCAATGAACTCTCCCTTTTCCCTGATAAGGGCATTATCAGTTAGGCTGCTAACCAAAAGGTCAGTAGCTCCAATCCACCAGCTGCTCCATGGGAGAAAGATGAAGTTTTCTTCTCTCATAAAGAGTTACAGTATTGAATACCCACAGGGGCAGTTCTACTCTGTCCTATGGAGTGTCTATGAGTAGGAATTGATTTGATGGCACTGAGGGAATTAGGATATTCCGGACTTTACAGTAGGAAGTGACCATGACACAAACACTGTTATTCTGGGGCTCTTTTGCTGAATGTGTTTTCTTGCTGTGAGAAAAGCCTACCCATTGTCATATAGTCTATTCCAACTCATACCACCCCTGTAGGACAGAGTAGAATGGCATCCGTGGGTGGCAAGACTGTACATCCTTACGGCAGCAGAAAGGCTCATCTTTTTCCATTGGAGGGCCTGCTGGGTTTGAACTAGTGATCTTATAGTTAGCAACCCAATGTGTAACGGAATATGCCATTGGGCTCCTATGATCACAGCAGATACTTGGTGAATCTATAGTCATCAAATAAACTAAAAAAGACTTCCCGATTTTCCAAGAGTCTCGCTTTGGGTACTGAAAACATCATTTCTGTATTATGAATGTGAAGGAACTGCCTTCAGCAAAGGCATAAAAGCAATCAGTCTCTGTGCTGTTGTGCAGAAAATGCTGGGAAATGCTCCCTGGGGTGCAGATCAGGGCTGGCTTAGAAGCTTTGTCATTGTTTCCTCTCTGCATTGTTTCCGTTAAGGATGCCTTCAAAGCTTCCAAGATGCTGCCCTGAAGAAAATGTACAGCCTAGGCTGCACGGTATGCAGTTGTGTGGATTTACAGGCTTCCTGGCTCTAGTCACAAGGGAACCCTTCTTTGATGAGCTACTCAATCTTTGGCCTTTAGATTCTAATCCAGACAGTAACCATGATGCCAAGTTTGATTTAAACTACTGCACACTTCTAAGCCACAGGCTTCGCATCTGCTTCCAAATGACCTTAAAAACATGAAATGATCCAGGAAGCCATTCCTTATGTGTGAGTCAAACAGATTGGTGTTGACTTAAGATGCAACGACATCCTGAGCAGTTTTAGCCATCTTGAATAGAAACGTAGTCTTTCTTCAACCTGCCTTCAATTTGATTATAGGTAGTATTTTAAAAATTAGAAGGTCGAGTGAAGGGATGTCTATCACTTTGAATTTTACTAGCAGATTCAAGGCACTAGCCCTTTTAGCAGCAAGAGAGACATAAGTCATATTGTTATATTGCAAAACACTGACAGTAAGTCACACTGTGGTTTACTGTCAAGAAACCCCACCAAAAACAAAAGCGAAACCTCCTCACTGAAACTTATTGCTTTCCTTTCAACCCGAAATTATTTTTGCAGTTTAAAATGATGGCGCTTTGCTTCCTAACCTAATTGTGTCAGGTTGAAATATTTGGTCACAAATCAGCTTCCTGGAGCATATCCATTTATAATGAACTGTCATGACTGTCTCTGAAAGAAGCTTTGCTTAAAATAACAGGAAGATGCATTCTCTGACTCACATTTTCTTGATGATCAGTTGGATCTCTGCCTATGCTCTTTAGCTGCCGCTTCCTGGTATAGAGCGTTTCAGAATGAACACTCTTAGACTGAGGCACAATATATGGCAAGTTTCTTCTCTGCTAGTTGACCTTTTCCCTCTCCAAATGATTTCCCCACCCCCCAAAAAAGAGAAAGCTGCTTACCCTAAATATGTCCTTAAGGCAGTTAATGATGTCAATGCTAAAGAGGGAGTCTCCATGCCTCAGGGATGTCATTGAACACAACACCACAACTGTCGGTGGTCTTCTAGCTGCACACAGCATTTATGCTGGAAGTGAGACAGAGCTCCATAGAAGCTCTCGGACATTTTAGAAGCTCTGCTAGTCTGACAAAAGTCCTGATCAGTAGAGCAGCTTTGACACTTCTCTGCTAAATGCTTGACAAAGGAATTTCTCTGGGGTTGTACTCCTTTCCTTAATAGCTCCCACAAAACTGGAAAGTGAGCGGATTGTATGAAGTAGAAGAACTAAAAGCATATTGCAAATGGCCTCCAGAAGCAAACAGTTTCAATCATTTGTTGCAATGATCCCTAGGTTGCCAGTTCTTCACGGCACTCTGGGGGAAGTCCCTGTGCTGGCAGAGGTCTGGGTAGTTCAGGTCAACAAGTAAGTTGAGGTTATCGTTTTTAGAGAATAACTTCAGGAGAATGCTCAGGTATAATGGAGTTGGGAGAGTTATGATGAGGAGACACCCAACAATAGAGTTTCCAAAACACCAAACCAAACTCACTGCCATTGAGTTGATGTAGACTCGTAGCAACCCTATAGAGCAGGTTAGAACTGCTCCAGTGGATTTCTGAGACTGTAAATATTTAAGTGGATTAGGAAGTCCTGACTTTCCCCCCACAGAGCAGCTGGTCGTTTTGAAAGGCTGACCTTTCAGGTCGCACCCAACATGCAACCATTACACCACCAGGGCTCCTAGATATACTGGGCCCCTGACTCCTGGCAATGACACATTAATCTATCCAGATGCTAGTTGATTGTCTCAGAGGTCCTCGCTGACAGTTATTGTTGCAGGCTCTCAGGTGGCAGGGCCCCATCTCACCCTGTTGCCATTATTTAGTTTTAGAATAATGTGTCTTACTTAGCCTCCAGTTTGCTTTTTAAGCTTTCTCACCTTTCCTGTGGGCTATTATTCTCACCTGCAACTACTCATTATGACACTAGATGGAGTGTCCACAAAGAAATGTCAATGGTAGAGTTGCACTTGCATTTCACAGATGCCAAGTTAAAGGCACTTTCTGTGTTGTTGTTTACTGGATAAGATAAGGGTATTCATACTAGCTTTCTCCAAGAGAGAGAGGATGATGGTACTTTTTGGCTGCCACTGAGTCAATGCTGTCACCTCACGGGACAGAGTGGAACTGGCACACAGGGTTTTCTTAGGCATCTTCTATACAGGAGCCAAACGCCAGGCCTTTTTCTGTGGGTGGATTCAAAGTGCCAACCTTTGGGTTAGCGGCCAAGAGCTAGTTCTTTCTTCCTTATGCTCCCAAAAATGTGCTCTTCAGGACCCTCAAAAATGCCAAGGGCTCATATTTTAGAAGCGAGACCTGGATACAAGAATGATCCCAAAGAGGGGCTTTGATACCAATTCACTTAAGCAGCCCCCAGGGATTCCTACTGTAGTGGCATTTTCATTGTCTCCGGAAAGGAGAAGGATGGTGGTGGAGGGGAAAGGTTCAGTGAAAATTCTTGTACCTTTTCTTTGAGATTTTCCAACATTTTTTCCACCTGAAATTTGTCATCTTTGATTTTTTCCAGTTCTGCTTCTTTCCTTTTGTATTCATCTTGGACTTTGAGTAGATGCTATAAGAAAGACCAAAAACAATCAAGTCACCAAAGAAGGAGCTGCACTTTCCTTTAAACTCCTGGCTGAGGTTAGGTTTCAGACTGGCCTGTTTCACTTGCCCCCAGCACATACAATCATGTCTCCCTGCAGAGATGTTGAAGGAGAAACCAAATACATCTAGTGCTATTTTATATCGCTCTTGTGAACTTTCTTTTGAACTTGGCCATACAAAGGGGCTTCAAAACATTTGTGGAATAATTCTATTGTCTTTTTATTCAATTTCTCACAACTTTTTTAAAGCCTCCTCATATTTTTAAAGGGGTCTGAGAAATGAAATGGTCCACTTAACGTCTTTTCTATTCTGGCTAAGGGTAGAGGAGGGTGCAGTTAATACTGCTTGGGCAGCATCTTGGTCATTGGCAGAAGTGAATTTAATGTAGTAAAGCGTGTGTGTGTGTGTGTGTGTGTGTGTGTGTGTGTGCGCGCAAAGAGCCATTTACCAAATCAAGTTCCATTTCTGTGAGGAGAGTGGTAAATAACCCAAGTTTCACATGTCAGTTTCTACAGACGAGGAGCTGGATATATCATTATTAGTAATTACATAAACACTGCTTACTGAGGGTCTAATGATTGCCCAGTATTGTACAGAGGGGTTTTAAACAAGGGGGCTTCAAAAATTCATGGAAAATAGAATAAAAAGATAATGAAAAAATTTCCAGGAACATTTTGAAGCCTTTTAATATACATGCTCTCATTTAAACCTCACAATAAACCTAGGAGGTAGATAACATTATCCTTGACACAGAGAGGTAAGTGGCATGCCTAAGGTCCTTCAGGAAGTGGCAGAGTTGGGTTTATACCCAAGATGGACTCCAGAGCCCATATTTGTAACCACCATATTATACTATATAGTTCATTGAGATAAGTTGGGGAAATTTTATCACTGTTGGCAAGGCTGTTTTCCAATAAATGATAGTCCAAATGAGTGAAATTAATTCACTGTGAGGTAGCAATTCCTCCCCACCCCCGCCTCCAAGGTCTTTATAGTAATGAAACAAACAAGCAAAAAATCTATTGCTTTCAAATTACATTTAAACAGCAGAAATCTCCTAATGTGAAGTGGTTTCAAGGTAAGAGGGGAGGAAAAACAAATAGATTCCAAGGCCTTAGTTTCCAGAGACTTGTAATGGACCACTGGAAGGGTTAACAACATGATGCGATGGACTTTGTCAAAGTTCTTTGAAAGCTAGTGGAGGAAACACATTAAAATACATACAAAATGTAATTATATATGTGTGTGTGTGTGTATTTATATAAATATATATATATATATATATATATATATATATATATGAAAGATCTCTGACATAATTTACATGCTCTAGTTAAGCATCATGGCACCAGTAGCCTCACATTCCTATTACTTCTGCAACCATTGTCTGACAAATGCTATCACACTAATAGTTCACCTTTCCTATGAGCAAACAAGTGGCATCTAGAGCCATGGTGGCATTGTGGGTTACAAGTAGGGCTGCTAACCATGGGGTTAGCAGTTTGAAACCACCAGCTACTCTAGGGAGAAAGATGAGGCTTTCTCCTCCTATAAAGCGTTCCAGTCTCAGTAAGCCACAGGGTCACCACGAGATGGAAGAGACTCAAAGACAGTGAGTTTGCTTTGTTCTTTGTTCTTGAGTGCCAACGGAGACTCCCTGTTTATAATAATGTAATTTCCAACAATCAACTAGCTTTTATTCCAAGGTAAAAAGTTAAAAATTCTTGGACAATTTAAGCTTTACAGACAATGGCTGGAACTACTGCATGACAGAAATGGCTGGTACTCTTACTGTACTTCTAAACTGTAGGAGCATTATGATGGCTCTATAAAACTGCTAGATATTGTAACCATAGTAGGATGTGCATTGTTGTTTTAATGTTCATATTTGGGATTATGTGCAAGAAAATGAATCTACATCAATTATTTGTGAAAACAAAATAAAAGCAAATTTATATTATGGATCCAAAACATTGACACTTGAAAGCTCATGAAGCCCTGGCTGCCACCCAATCAAGGGAAGGATTGCTGTTAAAAGGCTGTATTTTGAGAATGATGAGAGCCATGAATGTACAAATGTGTTTTACACAATTGATGTATGTATGGATTGTGATAAGAGTTGTATGAGCCCTTATTAAAATGATTAAGAAAAAGAAAAAAACAAAAACAATTCAATCCGGAAAAAAGGCTGTATTATTCAAGATTCTATCAATTCTATCAGGATTCTGGATACTTACTCATATCTAAGTAATTGATATTTTTTTATAAGGACCCTAAGGCCCTGTCCAGATCCTGGCACACCCTTTGAAGCATTAAAAAAAACTCAATTATGTTCACTGTAGGTCTGACATTAAGTATTCTTCACTGAATGCTCATTCTTTGAAAACAGGTGATCTATTGCTCTCTCCATATTAACCAGAATAGTTTGTTAACCACATCAGACTTGCCAGACAACCGAATATCTAAAATAAGAGTGTTTTGCTCATATTTGCTTGGAGGGAACCCTTTTATAGACGAGACCATCCTTCCCAAAGCTCTGAAAATGAAAATGCTTTCACCTGTTGCATTCCTTGCAGGGCTTGTTGCAGGAGTTTCAGCTGCTGTTCCTTGCTGGGATCGTCTTCTCTGGGAGCTTTGCCTTGTTCTTGCTTGAGCAGTTCAACCTCATTGCGATAGGCATCAAGCTGCCAGCGGAGGCTGTCATTCTCTTCCTTTAGAGCTTCTGTCTGTGATACTAAAGCTAAAGGATCAATGTACAATAGTAAAACAAGGAAAAGCTAGTAGTTTAAATCAAAAGGTGTAGAAAGCCTGATGAGGAACTTTAAGGCTGAGTTGGCCAAGGAAGCAAGAGACGAACACAAAAGTACTCAGACTCCTTTTGGTATATGAACACAGGCTTCTGACACATAAAAGTCTTCATGATAGTTGATGGTCTCCACCCTAAGTATAACTTGTTTCTAGGTAACACTGATGACTTTTATTTGAAATGCAGCCCATGATAAAAGTCCCATAACAATGAATTTTAGTGTTAAATGTCTTGAATTGACAATGCCCATATAATCATTTTTGCCAACAGCTATTTTCAGAGAATATAGTTACACTTATTGATCCAGGCATAGTTTACCCTCAGGAGAGACATGGATGAGAGTGTATCCACAAGCAGAGAAAAGACTGAAGTTCCCAAAGCCTCACAACTGGACCAATAGTTAGCATCGTGATAAATGGAGAAAAAATTGAAGTTGTCAAGGATTTCATCTTGCTTGGATCCACAATCAATGCTCATTGCAGTAGCAGTCAAGAGATCAAAAGATGCATTGCACTGGGTAAATCTGCTGCAGAAGACCTCTTTTAGTGTGTTGTAAAGCAAATATGTTACTCTGATGACTCAGGTGCACCTGACCCAAGCCATGGTATTGTCAATTGCCTTGTATGCATGTGAAAGTTGTACACTGAATAAGGAAAACTGAAGAAGAATTAAGGTATTTGAATTGTGGTGCTGGCAAAGCTTCTTCAAAGTGCCAAGGATTACCAAAAGAACAAACACATCCATCTTGGAAGTACAGCCAGAATTCTTACTAGAAGCAAGGATGGCAATACGTCATATACTTTGGATATGTTATCAGGAGAGACCAGTCCCTGGAAAAAGACATCATGCTTGGTAAAGATCAAGGGCAGTGAAAAAGAGGAAGATTCTCAACAAGATGGATTGGCACAATGGGTTCAAACATAACAATTGTGAGGGTGGTATAGGGCTGGACAGTGTTTTGTTTTGTTGTTTGTAGGATCACTGTATGTCAGAGCTGACTCCATGGCACCAAACACTGATTCAAGGCAAAGGAAAATGAAAAAAAAAACTACATGTAAGGATATGTACATTAAATTTAATGATTTATGGAAGGACAGATTTTCAAGGAGAAAAGCACAAAAGTAATTTCAAAATGCTTAGTCTGAATATTTTCAACACGATCTGAATATTTTCAACAATGCAACAAACAATTCCCATTTTCTAGGTTTAAGATAATGGTAAAGAAATTATCGATTTCACTAGTGTCTACTGCTTACACTATAAACTCATGGGGTTGGTTGTAGTTTAATCCTTTTTTGATTACTAACAACACAAAGTACAGGAAAAAGGCATTATTGAAAGAGGTCAAAATTACAAATATGTACATTAATGGACACAGTTGTAAATTTTCTCAGGTACTTCTGGAGATGGATTCTGTGTGGAAGAAAGGAAACATGAAGGGAATGAAATAATTGAGATAATTGGCTTAATTGTAAATGGTAGAGGAGTTTTCCAAAGGGAATTTCAAGGACAAGAGTTATCCTGTACATAATGAATAGAAAGAAGTTGTGCTTTACAAAGATGCAAGATAGAGAAGAAAACTATTATTACATAGGTTGAAACACGCATTGGGCTACTAACCACAAGGTTGGCAGTTTGAAACCACCACCTATTCTGTGGGAGAAGGATAAGGCTTTCTACTCCCATAGAGTTGCAATTTCAGAAACCCACGGGAGCAGTTCTACCCTGTCCTATAGGGTATAGGGTTACTGTGAGTTGGAATCAATTCAATGGCAGTGGGTGAAAAGGATTCTGCCTTTAGGGAGATGTTGGGTCTAATTCAAAAGCTTGAACATTAGGGTTTCTCTAAAACCATTGAGTACTGATGTAGACTGATGTGATCTGGTTGTCTATGCCAAGCAGATAGTAGGAATATTAATGGGAGCGCTTTGCTGAGAAACATGGTCCAGTACTATCATGACATTCCCTCAATGTCCCTATTTTTCGGATGGTCATGCAATTAGTTCAATATTGCAATTTTAAACTTCCCATTTGTTGAAGAAAATTACAAAAGGTCTTTGGCACGACACATTCCATTTTGTGCTTAGTTTTATTACTGATTTGCATTCTTGCTGTAATCACAGACTATTTGTGTCTTTGAAGAGGAAGCCTTCACTTAAGAGACCTGGATTCCGGCATTCCAAATAATCTCTCTTCTAGCTTCTGGGAGACTCCGCCCCCCCCTCCCCCTTAGAGTCACACTGTCCCTCACAATCACAGCACAAAAGAAGATGCTGCAAGTGAACCATGATTGTATGTAAAAGGGACCATTCATTATCTGCCAAGCAGAGGACAAACTATTTGTTTTGCTTGCTGGGTGAGTACCAAGGGCACATCTTGAGCGGGAGGTCTGCTAAGTAGCACACGGGTTACTCTGTGAATCCAGTGACTCCCACAGATGGAAAGTTATTTATTTCTGCTGTGGTTTACATGTTTGTCCTCTGGCAGCCCACACAGCTCAATACAAGATAGTGATATTTCATTTCCATCCACTGGCTGCTTGTAGCGCAGGCCAATAATTATGCTCATGTTATACAAGGCACATGGTGGTCCAGGGCCACGAAAAGGGCAGAGACCTAGGAGGATAGCTAGAGGCAGGTTCTCCAGTTTAAATGTGGAAATGTATTCCTTTTGAGAAAATGAGGAGTGTTTCATTTTCTTTTGGGAGAAAGGACTGGCTGATGAGAAGAGATGGAGTTCTGCAGTCAAGTGGGAGCAAAGAATAATCTCCTCAGTCTGGACCTGTCACTAAGCCAAAGAAACTGTGATCTCCCATAATGCTACTGAAGCGACCTTAACGATACAATGCATTTCACACTCTCTGAAATGAGGGGTTTTGTCATTTTAATGAGGACACCATGTCTTTACCTTCATAGACTTAATATTAATTGGGTCCATTTCTAAAGTTGGAGTTCTCTGTACATTGCCAGACATCGAAAAGTTCAATATTACCTTTTAATAATCTGTTTGAGCAGGTGAATCCATCCATCCTGGTACTAAAGAGCACAGTGCAGTGGATGTATTCATATCCTGCCACCATTAGTTCTCAGCATCTCCTTTGCTTTCTCTCGTTTATTATTTCCTATGTGGGAAGAGCATTTTTCTTTAAGCTCCTCAGATCTGAAGTCGGTCAGTTCAGCATAGGAATATGAAAGTACAAGGGCGGCTGTGAATGCCTCCTTTTAGAGGTGCCACTCAGAGCAAAAGCTCAGACTTGGTTTTCTACAACAAAAGATCTAAAAGGATTGTATGCCATTAAAAAGATTTTCTAATGCCTGCCTATCTCAGTGGTATAAAGGAAACAACAAAAATCAATCAATCAATAAATGATGGAAGTAAAGCCAGGGAGCCAGTCACCCATACCAAGCTGTATTATAGGAAACGCTAAAAATTGTTACCAAGTGGAAGAATGTGTAACATTCTCCTCAAAGCTCATCAAAAAGTTGGAGCTGGAGTAATTTACAAAGGGGAAAAGCCCCAAAGAAAAAAGAACGGGAAGAAAGAGGGCAATGACAGGAGCCCAACTCATTGGCAGTGGGCTACATGACCTCACAGTGCCTTGCTCTTCTTGCCCTTCCACTCCAGTCAGGCTCTGTCAGTTGGGAGGCAACTGGAACCTCATTGCCTCCTCTTCCAAGTCTCCAGATCCCCCTTTCAAACAGAGTATCCTTGTTTGCCAGTTACCTCACTGTCCTTCACTCTGCTAAGATTCTGCTGAGACCTTTACTCTCTCGGAGTGGCCAGCTTCACCTAGTTAGTTGATGAACTGTTTACTGGCTAAAGAGGTGCATTGCGAACTCCTCAGCACAGCCCTCTGTATTCTTTCAACCTCCTCAAGTGTCTGGCCAGATTCGTTAAGCCAGTACCCACGCCTCCCCACACCCCCTACCCCCAGCTCATGGTCAACGAGCTCTACTTTCTCTACTCTTTACACTGAATGGCAGGAATCTCTTAAAAGATGTTGCAGAGCTAGACAGTTTCATGTTTGTACATCGTGCACTCCTTTCTTCCTTCCGCACTCTCCACAGCATTTATTTGGGACCCTCCTAAAGTCTTATTTCTGAGCAATTTCTATAATCAATAAATGCCCAATCACATAGTATATGGGAAAAACATGGGATATATACTCTCGTTTCTCTCATTTCAGAGAAGGATGTTTCTCGCCTCTCTAAAGCAAACGTCAGCTGAATTTGGCTCACTTCCCATTCTTCTATAGCAGTGGTTCTCAACCTTCCTAATGCTGCGACCCTTTAAAACAGTTCCTCATGTGGTGGTGACCCCCCAACCATGAAATTATTTTCATTGCTACTTCATCACTGTAGTTTTGCTACTGTTATGAATTGGGCGACTCCTGGGAAAGGGTTGTTTGACTCCCAAAGGGGTCGCAACCCACAGGTTGAGAACTACTGTTCTATAGAATTGCACTTCTATATTTACCCATATGCCTTCATTCTCTAGCATCTTCACCCTCACCATTTCCATGGCCTCTTTCCCTTCCTATTTACAAATATTTGCCCTTGAACAACAAACAATGTATTTTCAACTTGGCTATCAATTTTAGCCACCATTCATTATACTTGTATTTCCTTTTGTTTGGTACCCAAATTTTCGACATATGGTCTTTAGCTACTTTTTCTCTGCTTATGTTTATAAGGTCAGCAGCCACCATATGCTCCACAGGAGCAAGATGAGGCTTTCTGCTCCTGTAAAGATTTACCGCCTCAGACATCACCCACAGAGGTATTCTAGTCTGTCTTATAGGTTTGCAACGAGTTTGTTTATTTCTGGAGTCTATCTCAATCACTTCACTAAAATAGCTCCTGCTGAACACTGTTGCTCTCGATGCCCATCTTCACTGAAACATCTGATATGAATTTCTTCCTAATTCTACACGT